TAATAAATCACTGCTTGCATCGAAGTCGGCTACCTGGGTCCGCCTCTTTCTCGTTCGCTCACTGACAGGTGCGAACAGCACATAACAATATTGACCTCCAGTTCCACACGCTCAACAGCTTTCACTTCCTTGTAAGCCACACAGCCTCTCCCCATCTATCTTATTCCTCCTTTCTCTCTTTGTCTTTCTCTCGCTTTCCCTCTTTCTTATAGGGGATCTGCCAAGCCCAGGAGTAGCTGCGGTTCCCTTGGAAGCCTTCCCCAAGCCTCGTCCTGCCAAGCTCAAGCCAAGGCCAAGTCTATCCCCTCTATCCCCAATAAATCATTTTTTGATGGTGTGGTCCTTGCTAGTGAAGTTATATATTGTGTTTTCTTAAATTGATATTTCCCCATACACTACCATGTCTTATATTTCACATGTGAACAATCAGCTAAGCACAAATAGATGTTCAGAAACCACACTGACATTTTCTCATGTGAAATCAGTGAGCTCCTGTGGTGTTACTTGATGCACCGATACATAATGTCCCAAAATTCTCAGTTGGATTTAGGTCAGGGGAACGTGAGTCAATGGCATCAGTCCAGTCACTCGGGCCACATGAGGCCGGGTATTGTCCTGCACCAGAAGGAACCAGGGGCCCACTGCATTAGCGTAAGATCTGACCGTCGCTTTGAGGATTTTATCCTGGTGGCTCACAGCAGTCAGGGTACCATTGGCTGTGACATGGAGATCTGTGCAGCCTCTCAAGGATAAGCCTCCCCAGATCATCGCTGACCCACCACCAAACCTGTCATGCTCGATGATGTTACAGACACCATAACATTCACCACGGCATCTGCAGATTCCTTCACCCCTGTCACATGTGCTCAGTGTGAACCTGCTCTCATCTGTGAGGAGACTGGGGGCCAGTGGTGGTCCTGTCAATTCTGGGGTTCTCTGGTGAATGCCAGTCGAGCTGCACGGTGGGCTGTGAGCACAGGTTGTACTAGAGTTTGTCAGACCCTCATGCCACCCTCATGGAGTCTGTTTCTGACAGTTTGGTCAGAAACATGCACACCAGGAGCTGCTCCTGAGTTGATACCCTTCTATGGCCCTGTCCAGCTCTCCTAGTGTAACAGCTGGTCTCCTGGTATCCCCATCCATGCTCTCGACAAGACTGTGCTGGGAGGCACAGCAAACCTTCTTATGACTACATGTATAGATGTGCCATCTTGGAGTAACTGGACCTGACCTGTATAACCTGTCTGGGCTGCAGGTACTGCCTCATGCTACCAGTAGTGACAAGGACGTTAACAAAACACAAAACCTGACAAGAATCAGTCTGGAATGATAAAGCGAGAGCATTTGTCTGTGGCCACCACGTGCAGAACCATTCCATTTTGGGGTGTTGTCTTACTTTTGCCTCTCTATTGCACCTGTTGTCACTTTCATTTGCACCAAAGCAGATGAAACTGATTCACAATCACTTGTGGTTTCTAAATAGACACACTGTTATCCCTGAAGTTTAACTGATTTGGTGTTATACTGTGATGATTAAGTGTTCCCTTAATTGTTTGAGCAGTTTATATAATCAAAATCAAAAAACAATATCTGACTTTACTCAGGTCATTATCCTAATCTGATAGCAATCAAGACTCAGCTCTTTTTCTGTCTTTGTGATGAATGTTGATAGCTGGCTCTTCTTTGGCACTGCACTGTGGGAGAAAGACTTGCATAAACAGCATACCCACACCTTTTGAATAAGAGTGGGGATACCTTTGCCACTTCCAGCTGTGACCAACTGAAACATTCAAGTCATGCTAGCACAAATGGTGACAGGGCAAAAGATGTTGTTTACCTTGACATTGTGCTGGTTCTCAAAAGCTATAGAAAATTCACAGATCCTAATCTAACAGCTCATTCTGACTATTGCTTCTTCTACCATTCCATCCATCCATCCATCCATTAGCTATATCGCTATCTCAGCTGGCACTGGGTGAGAGGTGGGATACACCTGGACAGGTTGCCAGTTTATCACAGGGCTGACAGACAGACAACACCTTGCAATCACATTCACACCTACAGGGAATTTAGGGTCACCAGTCAACCTAAGCTGCATGTCACTGGACTGTGGGAGGAAGATGGAGTACCCAGAGAGAACCCACACAGACATGGGGAAAACAACAACCACCGTGTCACCCTTCTTCTACCATTCCTCCCTACAATATTTAAAATTCATCCACTGACAAGACAACATTGTGTTACCATATCTGGTTGTGTAGATCATGTTTTGTTGAACAATAGCACAGCTAACATACTTAGCAAATCTCACTGACAAATACTGTGCATTGCATTCTAACTACTTACCAGCAAAAGCCTAGTTTGGTCACATTTCTATAATGACCACAATATATAATCAAAACCTAAATGCTGCCATGTAGTAGCCTATAGAATAGGGACACAGCTAAAAACATTTCTGTGTACGCAATAGATGGCTACAAGAAGTTCATGACCTCTCTTAAAAGGCTGCTGACAGGCATTTTGGGAAATATAGGACACTACCAAATGAAGCAGAAGAGGGTAAGCTGAAGGGAAGGTTGTACTCCAAAAAGATAAATTACACCAAAGTAACTCTATGTGAGTTTGGCTTTTAACTTCCCTCCCCAGCGCTCATGGCTGGTCTCATTTAGAGTTCATTTAGAGCACAGGTCTGTTTTGTGCCCTGCCACACAGATGTGAAGCATGGAGCTGCTCTGTTGCTCAGCGACACCCCCTGACCTCACCTGTCCTCCCCAAGGGCTGCACTGCAATGCCCCTGCCCCCTCCCCCAAATACACACACACAGCTTAGCATATAATTGACAACCCAACACACTTTCTGCCTGTATAATTAACAAGCAACATAACAGAAGCCAAGCTTACACAAGCCAAATGATTACATCATGACTCCTAAACCTTGTTCTGTCACTTTGAAAAAGCATACATAAACTAAAAACAAAAACAAAAACAGAGGCACAGCATTGAAGACAACATCTGATTCCAGGTTTATGCAGATGGTGAATTTTTCCACTGACTGGCCAGTGAATATGTATTTGCCTTCCCCTTTTCCAGCATCAATACTCTCAGCCAGAGCAAACCAAGCTGTGCAAACCTCTTTAAAAATACTGAAGCTCGGTGTAATTTTAATTCAACTGGACTGTTTGCTTGCTGTTAACCTTAACGTGACTCCATTTAATGTCTGTGAGTTCACATCAGTCCACAGGTTCACTACTCTGGATGTTAAAAACCGTACACAGATGTTGGATAAAATCAGTGCTGGGTCAAGAGACAGATCAAGTGCTTTAGTAACAATTAGTAAATCACTGTAAAGACAAATGGTTGTGTGGTGTCAGAAACACTGAAGGAAGGAGCAATTTATAACCTTCTATCAGTCAAGGAGAGAATATGACCTGTAGTTGAAACTATTCTGCTTTTGTGGATTTGACGAGTGCCTGTAAGAGACTATGAGAGAGCGGGGGAGGCTTGGTTAAACTGTTTCCCTCTACCACCCCCAAAGTGAAATACTAAAGATAATACAAAACATAAGCAATATCCAAACCAAACTTCAGAACAGTGTTTCACTGAATTTAGCATTCAATCCACACTTATACCTGCCTCTGGGCACAAGACAGTTGAGCAGATGTGTTTGAAAGGAGAATCCTTTTAAAGAACTGAGGTTTTTGCAGATGCATCACGTGATTTCTTTGGTTTTGCATAAAATTTTAGCATCAGCAGATCTTTCCAAGATCTCAATCTGTCACATTTCATTTGGTTTTGGAGCAGAGGAATCAAAGGTTAGCAAGAAAACACAGATCTGGTTGCACAGATGCTGAATGCTAAACCATTTCCCATGCTGTTGTTGTTGTGACAAGTATATAGCCAGAGATGCCAGCGTGCTGCTGTTGTAATATTTGTACAGTGGGAAAAAATCAATTTAAAAGAATCAGGATTCATAAAACCTTATCATTTTCTCTCATTACTCATCTGTGGTAGAGATGGGGGGAAATGTGAAATGGACCCCCTCTGGGGATGAAAACAAATGAAGCAAAAAGAGAGGGGAAAACAGCTAATTTCACATAAACACACAGTTAACTATGATGGTTCCACATTAAAAAGAAGCTTCCAGGCTCTGGGAGTTTCATGCACTTGGAAACAACATCATGATACTTTGTTATAGAGGATCAGTTTTTGCTAATGGAAAAGCCACAAATGCCTGCCAAGCAATAATAAATCTGAACTGGTATTTATTAATGCAGGTCATCAACTGCTGTAATTATGATGATTATCAGGAAATCAGCAGGTTTTGATAGCAAAGAGGAAGTGCTATCAAATCGGAAATACCCAGCTATACCACATGTAGCAGTGGAACCCAATTACTGTATACAGTACTTATATCATGTAGATTTTTACTAAAGTAGTCAGCCCCCCTGAAACATTACAAGCATTGTTGTTCTGGCACAAATACATTCAGTGAAACATTTGAAAGCAGTATCAGGTAAAGGAGCTCGCCTCACAACCCCCGTGAGGTGACACACACACACTGGGTCTGATTTGTGGAGCCAAAATAGATGGGAATAAATTGCAAGAGCTTGGCCAACATGGCTGCATACTTATCAGTGTATTACCCATGGGAAAGCTCTGGTCACAGCTAATGGCTACATGTCGATGTGTGTGTTGTGGATGTGCGTGCAAGTGCAGAGTCACCTTCTCCACCTCAATGTCACCCATCAGTGGCAGCAAGTGTGTGTTTGCTTCTATTTAATTGTAAATTGCAGAGGCAGGGGTTCATGTGAATTGCATGGAAGGAAAATCGAATGTGGAAACATTTCACCTCGGTCGGTGACTTGTTGTTGATCATCGATGTTGTAAGTGGAACATTATGCTTTAGCATTCAGCAAATACTGTATACAGCACAGTGTTGTAGATGAGATATTTTAGGTTCCTGTGTGAGAAAAGAGAAGAAAAGAAAGAATGAAACTTTACCTTTTTGATGGCCTCGACCCAAGGTCACAAAGCCAGAGGAGATGAAGTTGTGAAGGTCAGCGCCTCCGCTGCTCCGGACACTCTCCTTCCCATAGTGGATACCTGGCCACACACACACACACACGCACAGACGTACACATGCAGGCAGGCATGCGGAACCATCACACAAGAACATGTCGAACCATTCACACAGAGACATTACACACACACACACATACACAAGGATACGGACACAATCAGTAAGACAGACATATACAGACAGTGTTAGTATTCTGATCAGTTAAGCATTAGAATCATTAGCAAAACAGTAGTTCCCAATCTGGGGGTTAAGACCCTCCCAAGAGATCACCAGAAGACAACCAGAATAGGAAACCATAAATAAATATTTATGCCAGACACAATTATATTACTTTTCATGTATAATTTCTAACATTTGCATTTTCCCCTGTGAATTTCAAGATAGCATTCAGCCCATCAGTTAGTGCAGTTATTCAAATAAAATACAGGAAAACATCTGTGCCTGGTTGGTACGGAAGAGAATTAAGGCCACTGCAAAAAATATATATATTTGAGTCCTGACTTTTTTCTCAGAATTATGACTTTGAACTCAGAATTCTTATAAAAGCTCAGAATTATAACTTTAAAAGAGAATTTCAAATAAGTCAAACTTCTAAGAAGAACTCAGATACATTTTTTACAGTAGCCCTACTCCATTTCCCTAGGCTGGTATATAGAGGTATGCAACCAATGACAATAGGTTACAAGTAGATAATTCTCTTTTTTAAAGGGAAACAGACCAGTTTTATCATGATAATATCATATCAATATCAATTTATCAGTCATGGGTTGTGCTACTTAGGTTGGAAGTACAATATGTTTCTCTGTTCCTGGAGAAGCTTTGTCAACCATGAGAATGGTGGCCAGGCTGGAGAAATCATGTCTTATACACTTGAGATGTGACGCTTGAAAGACATGTGTTTGGCAGGCAGGCAGTCAAGCTCTAACAAAAATTACAATTAAAATGCGTTATGGCATATGTTGTATTTTTAAAGTTTATTTTATGTAATCTTGGTCTGACTGAGAACAAAGATCTCTTCTCAAATCAGTGTTTTAAAATTGTACCCACGCACCATGACTTAAGACTTAAAGTGGTGCTATGTGGGAAAACTGAGAAATGTCTGACATTATCCTCTGACACACTGGAGCAACAACTTGTAGACGCCTCACAGGCCAGGGCTACAGGGCCCCAGCATGGGCACGGCCCTCAAAATGTGTGGAATTACAACATTGTTTTAAATGTAATTTGGAAATTATGCATTATGAGCACATAAAGAAACCCATTACTGTGCTGAAAAAATGCTATTTCTTGTACCAAAAACAATATTACAGGGTCTGAGCGAAGAACAGATCACCCAACTCTGGCATTAACAAACGAGGAGCAGCTCAACAACACACAGTGCAGCACTTAAAAAAAATCAGTGAGCTCTGGTGGGGAAAAGAAAAGAACTGGTTTCAGCAGACCTGCGCCCATTTCGGATAACACTGGCTTTCTCCGGTTTTAACGCTGCAGCAGAGACACGGTTCACTGCTGCAGATGTAGTGTTAACAACAACAGCAACACAGCCGAGCACTCTGCTTTCTCTTTCCCCCTCCCTGACACGCCAGCCTCTGTTTTTTCCCAAAAACATTTAGCCAGTGGTGGAAAAATTCTGAGACTGAAGTAAAAGTGACAGCACCACAGTGTAAAAATACACTGTTACATGTAAAAGTCCTGCATTCAAGATGTTACTTAAGTACAGAAATATTAGCACCAAAATATACTTAAAGAACAAAAAGTACTCATTATGCAAAATGCCACATTTTACATGAATTATTGTATTGTAATTATTGCTGCATTATTGTGTTCATCACTTTAATGTTGCAGCTGGGAAAGGTGGAGCTAATGTAAGCTACCTTATATACTTGTTCACAATTTGAACTACTGCTGTGTAGCTTGTGAATTTTTCACCTCAAATCAATGAAGTCTTGTGATTATACTCTTTTGTTTAGTTAATCCGATTCTGAAAAGTAGTAACTAAAGTTATCAAATAAATGTACTGGAATAAAAATACAATATTTGTCTCTAAAATGTAGTGAGGTCTAATCCACACGTGCACGGGTATTTTTGAGTTCTTCCCCTCACTGGTTTTAAAAAACAATCCCATCTACACATACATTATTGTAAAAAAAAAATCTTCATAACACGAAAATGCAAAATACGCTGTGAGGAGTACACTAAGGCAACAAGCGGTGATATAACCCTTACTATACAGTCATGCTGGTCAATCAGAAACCTGAAAAAGTTATTATTGGCTCCATTGTCATCTGTGGAATATTATTATATTGTGACACATACAACAAAATTTTGTTTGGAGCCGAGGGCCCCGGGGCGCCATCATTGGCAACTTGGGGGGTTCAGTGTCTTACCTAAGGACACTTTGATATGTGGACTTCAGGCACCGAGATCTGAACCTTTAACCTTGCGTTTGGGAGACAACTGCTCTACCCACCACACCATTTTCATCCCCCCAAAATACATCAATGTGGGAGTGTTGCTGGGTGTAGTAGTGACCTCTAGAGTGCATTCTGATGCCCACATTACTCAACATAGTGAGCAAGTAACTGTGTAAGTTCAAGCACGCTAAAAGCCTGGTTAGCAATGCTACAGCCATCACTAGTTTGGCTACAACCACCATGGCACAATATCTCCTGATAAACAAACAAGATAACATCACACAGCCTAACGTCAAGCAAATGAGATACTGACACACACTCACATGACAAACCAAAAACATGTCAACACTGAAAATGGAGTTTCTAAAAATCTTTACCCTGGACAGAGTTTTTTCCAGAAGTTCAATTTTCAGTGACCTAACACACCATTTGTGTGTGGATGACAGGCAGAGGCACGTAGAAGCCGTTATGTTTTTAAAAGCATGTGTACATGGCCGTGTACAGGCCAGGGCTTAGTTATTTTCCAGCTCTGCCAAAACTTTTAACCAGCGCTGTTGGTAAATTATACTTTGAATGACAAAATAACACTTTTATATAACTTATGTTAAATTATGCTTTTGAACTTAAATAAACAACTTTAAAAATATGCCTTTTGCTTCTTTTCCATTAGTCTGACAATGGCCTTCATCAGAATCAGTTTCATTTGCAGCTCAGTGACCAATGGACAGGAATCAAACCTTCTTTTAATGGTTTGACAGTGCACTGGTTTAGGAGCCAACATATACTACCTTTACTTTTTTAACGGAATCAAATCATTTTGAATCAAGAACTGGCTCTGAATCAAACTGTGAATTTGTCAAAGACTCCTATCCCTACAATGAAGTATTAAAATGGTGGCGGAGCCCACCAAGACTATCTTTGTATGTGGCCCAAGTGTTCGTACTACGCTCCTGTACACAGTTGTTTTTTGGTTTCACTTCAACCACATATAACAACATGGTGAAAAAGCTGAGATCAACAATTTCCCAAATTCTCTATAACATTGCTTTTATGAGCTACCAAGAATAATAAATATTACTATCAATCCAGTAGAACTAACTTGAAGCTAAGAACTGGAAGGAAAAAAAAAATCTCTTGAAGCTATTTGACTGCATAAAAATAAAAATGATGCATGGAAGCACATTTCTTGGTAAATGAATTACTTGTCATGGAACAGTATAGTGGCAACAGGACAAAATAACAGCCCATTCAGCACTGAGTTTGTAGTTTACATACAGTCACACCCACATTACTCATGTGTGAACATAGACTAAAAGTCAGGATAGCTCAACCTCAGCTGCTTCTGTTTTGACCATTCTTTTTAAAATCTGTCTCTCAAAAGTCTTTCAACGTGGAAGTATAATACTAAAGTTCTTCTGCTGCAAATACTTATTTTCTTTATCACCAATTCATATGGTGCAATATCAACTAATTATTTTCTGGCGCCTACATTACCCACAATACAACTCGAGCTAATATAGCCTCAAGAATGAACCGGACTACAAAGGTCTGGTAAGCCCACTTCTTTCTAACTCCACACCTGCAGTTTTTATTTTTCATTTTCAAACAACAGACCAAAGCAAAGCATCAAATCTTTGCAAATAATTGTCAGATGTTACAGATTATTTTTCTTGACGAAGCAAATAAATAACTAGTCCTTTCAGCTCAGGTAACTGGACATCATGTCAAAAGCTTGGAAATCACTAAGCCAAAAGAACCTTATAAATTTCACCAGAACACCTGTTAAAGATACGAACATAGCTTTTCCCTCATGTTCTCAATGGCTCAGATGTGTTTCCATGGTGTCAAATGGCAAACTTCCCCCTGGTGTCATTTTCCTTCAGACACATATAAAGGGGAAATGGTAGAAATGTGAACCACACAAACAAACATGGTGCAATGCTCTTCAGAAAGAAAGTCATGTTTCCAGCACCCACATACCAATGGACTTTGAACTCAATCACACTTCTCCCTGCGTTGCTTTCATCACTGCAGATAGAGTATTTGCTGGGGTTATTTCTATTTCATCATAGCAGCAATTCTGTGTGTGACATGCACACAAGCTATTGTGGGCTTCTTTTGTCACCTTTGTCATTGGTAGGCCACTCCACGATCCACTGCGACAGCCCTCGAATCCGACAAACCCTTCAACCCCCCCCTCCCCCCGCTTTCGTTCCCAGCTCATTAAGGTGAGGTAGCATGAAGGGCCTACAGGGAGAAGGCTACGCATTATGAATTTATCGTCCTTGATACAGAGAAAATCACGACTTTCACATCAACGATGTGCCAAGGAAATGAACGGGCGCTGGAGCTAGCGGGCGCTGAGGATTCATATGGTAATACCTTTTTAATCAGACTTCTTCAGTGAACACCTATACCTCTGAATTACCTCTGAGAGTGGAAAAATGTGAATAATAAGATAATTATATCATGATCCAAGCTGGATATGGTACTGTGCGGCTGGCATCAGGGAGGTTTTCTGACTCCGAGGTCGATTAAACTTTAACACAGTCAGGTAGAGGTAATTTACATGGTATACTGATTTTATACCATTATCAGATGCTGAGCTGCTGGAGTGGACATGGAGCTGCGTACATCATCTCAATAAAATCGTTCAGCTGGGGCTCGGTATCGCATATCTTCATATCTTTATCTTCCCTTTCCTCTCACGCTCTCTCAGTCTGAATTTTTAAATGCCATCTAGGCAAATACGTGGGGCTTCTCTTTTCACCCTCTTCCTGACCTTTGATTTGATTTGATTTGATTTGATTTGATTTATTCTTTCAAGCATGTAAAAACAGTTGATATGTCAACACACATAATTTTACACATATCCAACAAATGCTAATCCAATATCCATTTGCTTATACCTAGTACATGCTTGAATGCAGTAGGAAGAAGTCAGACTTATCCAGTCCTACCCCATGACATCATCTTACCATCATTGGTTTGCAAGCAGTAAATGATTCACTTCTACCCACACACATATTATACTAAAAAAAGATTATAACAGTGTTAACCTTTCATGAGCCTAATGGTGCAGTGCAGAGAGTCCTGACCAACATTGGTCCATAATTAACTGGTACTGCTAGTGGAAAGAGATGCTGATAGATCTCTGCCTTTACACCTGAAACATACGAACACAAAGACACTCACAGGTCCAGCTATACGATAGGGGGCAATAATGAGATCTAGGGCAGAAGCCAATTAGGTGGGGTCTCTTAGATGCTGAGCTTTAACACAGGTGCACACAGGAGGATGCTTCGATTAAAGATGTTGATGCAGTCAGTTTGGAAATGTTGTTTTTAACATGCAGGTGATGATTACCTGGCCAATGGGGAGCCAGCGAGGTCAGAAAGGGGCAGTGTTCTGTGGTTGGTTTGGGATGGCGCACTGAATGCAATTATAAAGATGCCTATTGGTGAATAATTCAAGTAATTAAATCATTGCTTTTTTATTTAGGCAAAACCTCTTATTTGGCCAACTCAGAGAGAACACACATGCACAGAGCGCTACGTGCTTTAAAATTCTCTGATGGTCATGTCAGAGCTGCTAAATAGTATGTTATTCTATGATCACGACCTCTAATTGTTCACAGCAGCTGACCTTTAAGCTGTGGAGGCCGCTTGTCTCAGACAAAATTTACTGATTGCTCAAATCCTTCAAGGCGTGCACAGGAGCTCTGTGTAGATACTGGCTGAAGGCTCAACTTCCACATGAACTGTAACATTGTCATTCAGATTTTTCTGACTCTTCTGGTGCTGTAAACACAGCCCCATAAGTCATGATCCAATTTACCTGTTCTTTGCTTGCAGAACTGTTCTATGGGAGTAATTGGTTTCTCTTTGGTTCTTGTTGAATAAACTGAGACAGAGGAAACCGCTACTCATTGGGCTACCTGAAAACTATATTTCATCACTCTGTGCGTTAAGAAAATGTCAGGAAGAAACCAAAAAACACTTTTCAAAAAGCAAAAGCAACAAATAAAATGGTGAATCTTAGCCTGTGGTGTGTGGGAAATAAATCATCTTCATCTGAAGAGAGCTCTGAGCTAAACGGCATTACTCAGAGAAGCCGTTATTGTTTACTTTAACCAAAGGCGAACTCCTGTAAAGGTGTCTACTCCTCCTTTTCAAGGTTTACTCCTTGTTATGGCTGCAGGGTGCTCTGTGTTTTCACTCTGACCTAAAAGATGATCTGAGCCCTACAACAATGCAGAGTAGATGTGAATAAAAATAGCAGCACTTGTACTGGTATCATATTATGCTATCTGTACTGCGTTTGCCTTAGGGCTTATTTTTCAAAAGGAACATATCAGTCTAAAATGCAGGGACATTTTGCAGTGCACCAGGGATACCATGTCACCAGACAAGGCCTGCAATTTGGAAAAATAAATCAGCATGTATTTTTTAGAATTGAACTTAACAAAGCTCTGTGGATTAAAAAAGCCTTCTGTATGGAAGTGATTACTGCTGAAACCAACTAGGCATCATTACATGTTGAGGATCAAAGGAAAAATTGATGTTATTCTCACTCTTGACATAAGTTGACAGCATCCTCTGGGACCTTTTAGCCACTTGCTTTATGAGGTTTCTCCACCTGATTTAGAAAACCTCTGGAAGTGAAGAGCTATTCTCAGCAGTGATGACTCCAGAAGCCTCCTCTTAAGAGGCCTGCCTTTTGCTCTGTGCCAAATGCCCATTTAAGCACACATGAATATGCATCTTCTATGAGAGCGGCTGGGCTCTCTCTCCACAGCACTGTAGAGCCCCTAATTTATATGCACACATTAACCACGCTTTCACCCAGGCTGTCAGTGCATTTCATGTCCACCCCAGTGTCAGGACTGCTGTGGTACCGGCGGGGGGGGGTTACGACTCAGCTGCGCTGGGCCGAGTTCTGTTCTCTTTGCAGTGATTGCGTGAGGGCAGGCGAAATAGTTGCAGCCAAGCAGAGCAACCAGATAGACAGATAAATGCCCTGACTTTTATGCAAGGTAAAACTGAAAGCAGCCTGCCATGTGCAGCTGTGTATCAGCCGTGTCCCCTGCATGGCCAGCTAGTGACCATTAGGAACAAACTGATGCAACGACTCAGCGATGGAGGCACTCAGTGAATATACACAGTCCGTGCAACCATGGAGTATTTGATAGATGTGGAGGCGACAAAAATAGGCCGAGTTTACATGACATACAAGACTGTAAACCCACATGAAGCCAAAAGTGACAGCCCTAGCAGCTCAAATCAACCATAACGACTACATCTGCACTATCTGTGCTGTGAATTTCAGAACTTCAGAAGGCTGCTCTGTCATAGCCATTAGGGGTAAAAACAAGTCACATCTTACACATTGTCACCCCCTTGCTTACCACTGACCTGACACAGCAAAAGGACTTTCTCACCCTCCCTAATATTTACCTATTGTTCTATCCATTAATGTGTTTCTTATGAATGAAAGGAGGAGCTGAAGTATGTATAATGCTGTATTTTGTGCTGGGAACGCAAAGCCGCATGTGGTAGCTACACTGCCTGAAAAGACTGAGACAATTAAACATCTTTAAACCAAGAAGACTTCTTGGAAAAATTACAACCATGTGCATGATTCTCTATAGAAGCATAACTGATGGTTTAAATAGATATTTTATTTTTATATACATATAAGTTCCATTTGGCAGTGCTGTGCGGTTGCAGCAGGTTATTTAAAGGATGATACAGATCTGGATATGAATGTATTTCATAATGTCTCAAGTGTTTTGCTGTCTGTTTATCCTGGCACAGGTGCATTTTATGGTCTAAAGGTGAAACTAAAGGGGGGGAAAGGGACCTGATCAGGTTGAGTGGTCTTGTCAAAACAGTAGTGGGAGAGAGTGTAATCAGGTTTCATTCTGGTTTCAGAAGCAGTTCTGTAAGTTTTACCCATCTAGTGCCAACAACCTGAAACCCCACCTTCTTGGTCTGTGTACATACACTACACACATGTCTTAAACAAAAAACAGTTCAGTTCATTTGTTATAGTATGAACCAACTGGAAATCAGGCATGGAGAGAAAAACATGTAGCCAGTCAAATATAGGACATTTTTTTGATGCTAAGGCATAATGAGATGCCATCTTCATGAGCTTTCACACAAACTGGCAAATGAAGACCAACACAGAATAGATTTGAAAAAAAAAATCTGGATTGTTATACAGAGAAAGTGTTAGGGGTATGTCACCACCTTGTTTACTCTGAAATGTCATCGATTGTGACTTAAGAAAAAACATCCCTATTGTCAGAGTCGTGACAGTGCATTTTTCAGATAATCCGTCCTGAGGCCACAAAAATATCTGTGAGGGAGTTGGGTGATCTTTTTTTGGATCAATGCATTTATCACAAGTGTATTTGCCACCCAAAAGAAACCATAATTTATGCAGGAGCATTTGTAAACATAAGTCAAGTGCTAGGCTAACTGCACACATATCATCATTTGGGTGCTTAATGGCTGCGGTTTTCAACAGTGCTAGTGTATATTCCTACTCTGCACAGTGAGGTTACATGTCTTTCTGTTCCTCTTTCCATTTCAGTGACTCCTTTGGCTTTGTAACATCTCATTATTTTCCATCTGTGTCTCTCTCCCACAGTGTCTTTGCCTCTCTCGATCTGATAATGCCTGCTCTGCCACAGAACCAGCCTGTGCTGATTGGCTTCCTCTGGACTTTTTCTTGCATTTTTTACCCATACTACTGATATACTGATATACTGAACTACATTATAGTCAGAGGTCTCTATATTTTTGCCTTTGCCCCACTACATACATGAGAAGGTCAGAATATTAGCAACACTTCTAAATATAATGTAGTCCAGTACAACACCACCTTTAACTTTAACATCAATAATAATCATACAATTGAATTTAAGCATTTATGACAATTTCACCAAAAACTGAAACATTATTGAGCTTCGTAAATGCAGATGTTAAGGCAGAAGTGTTGCAATGAAATGCATACAATTGTACAGGTGTACCTAATAAAGTGGCTGGTGAGTGAACGTTCCCTGTCTGTTTTCAGATTTGTGGGGTTAAATCATGTGTGTGCTGTGTCTGATCCACCCACTGACTGACTGAGGCCATCACTTGCAGCCTGTCAGAGACTACAGGGCCATGCTACCTTGCCAACCTGTAATTATCTCCACTAGCAGGCCCCTCTTTTTCTCTGTCGCTCTCTCCCTTGCGCTCTCTTTCTCAAATCGGATGATTACTAGATGTTAACATGGAGATTACACTGCTGAAATTGGTGAGCACAGCGGGTGCTCTTTGGAGAGGAATGCATAACTTTACACAAAAATAACTAATATACAGTATATGGCAAAGGCATTACATAGACACACTGAGAGGGATGTAAGGTCACGCTGCTAAAATCTGCCTTCAAGCTATATTTGACCGACAGTAATGACACATACACAAGTGGAGGCTTATGGCGCTTTAGCTCTTTGAGTGTTCAGTGGAGAGAGAGAGAGAAGGGCTCTTACCGTGGTTGGATTTGGAGGTGTGAACTGGGGTGTAGTGGTTCTTCGATGAGGTTCTGACTGGCGTGTTGTCTTTGGGTGAACCGTTCATCGCTGCAAAATTCTCACAGTCATATTGCGATATAGGGATGGGCCCCTGCTGCCTCAGGATGTCTGCAAGGGCCCTGGCAACCAAAAACATGTATATTATTACTGTCCAAGGAAGATGTTTTTTCTACTTGTACAGCTCGTAAAAACGAGTGACAGCATTTCTGTTTTTTGGATGCGGAATGGCTGCTAATTGTTTAGACAGAGTTGTGGGTGATTCAGATCTGCTCTGGCTCTTCTTCTTCTTCTTGTAGTTTTTTTCGCTTGTTTGTTTTTTGTTTTTGTTTTTTAATCTGGGAACATGACGAATATTCATTTGCAAAAGAAACAACACTGGATGTGTGAGCGTCTCATCTAATTAGGTTGAATTTGAATGTTTTTCAGACCGCACCAGGTGCATGTGGAAGGATCGAGCCCTCGAGGGGGAAGAGTGGAAGAGAGGGAGAAGCAATCATGACGAAGAAAGTTGAAAAAGTGTTTGTTTGCTTTTTCTGGCATTGCTTTTGAAGAGGAAAATCAAATTACTTTTGCAGTGTTGCAGAAGCTTAAAGCTTTTGTGTGACAAATATATCAGCAACATAACCATTGCTTTTAAATTATTATTTTACCCCCCCACCCACCTTTTTATTGAATGTGCGGCGGTGCGTGCATGTCAGTCGACCTTGATATAGCCCCAACGTTAACACTATTCATTATTCAGAGTCTAACGATTGCTCAAGCATTGAATAAAAGAAAAAATTCAATCTTTAGGAAATAATGTGTCAGCATTTGTTCACTGATGTGGGTAAAGTCTCAAATATGTGGTCCACTCATGTATGATAAGTCTCATATGGTGAAGCCCCAGGAGAAAGCAGGAGACAGCTGAGGCAGTGAAATGCAGTCATTCACCATGGTATCCCATCTCTGCTAATCATTCTTGTCAAATCCCCACCTGAACGCACCAGACAGCCATGTGCTGATGTGCAGAGGGTGGAGGTGGGATGTTTGACAGCTGGATACCTTAACTTGGTTGCCTCATAAGCCAAATACATGGGTTAGGGTTCAATTTAAACATTAGAGATACCATTTTCATATTAGTGCCATTAAAAAAAGATTTAATATAAACTAACAAACATCCAATATAAATGTTGGGCGTCAGTCCTGCTCACTCCCACACACAACAGATGTACAAACACACACACACACACACAAACACACACACAGTCTCTTTATGAGTGCCAGCCTACCACAATCACTGTAATCGTACTCTTTCGACTCCTCCATAATTATTTTAGGCTTTCATTCTTTGGGACTTAACATCTAGAATCTGATCTGAAGTAGATAACAATCTGGAAATTAATTTATTGTCAAGCTCATTTTCACTTAATGTCTGATACAGAGAAAGCACACACACACACACACACACACACACACACACACACACACACAGTTATATATAGACAGGTAGTGCAGATGGATAGATAGACAGAGAGATACATAGATATCAGTGTACCACCATCTAGGAATTGAAAATTGCTTCATGTGACATGACACTAGGTCTGTGTCAGGCATTAGTCGTGACCTTTGACCTCCAGCTGCTGGGGGGGGGGTGGGGGGCTGCTTGTAGCCTATTATAACCTTTTACAGTCATAGTCTCTGTACATCAAATTGTACAAATAACTTGTAGGTGTGGGATTTTGATTCTCTTACTGCAACAATATGCTAAAGAATATATTCAGCAAAGTAAAGACATGCACTGCTAGCATACTATATTCATTCTAACATATTAGTGTGTGATTTTAAACCATCTTCTACCTACTTACCTATGGATATTCATTTCCTGAGGCGGCTCTGTAGCTTTGTCATACGCAACTTTGGCCGACACTCCTAATACTATGATGAAGGCTATGATCCCACAGGTGATATAGACCGCTGTGTTAGTCTGGTCCATGCTTGGATCATATGTTTCACCGGTCGGAACAGGGGACGGGGCGGCCGTCAGCACCCACACCGGCGTGTGGTAGTTCTTGCAGGCTTTCTGGTCCAGCCGGTCTTTCTTGTACTCGCAGCAGAAGCGCAGGTAGCACGTGCCGCAGCAGTACCGGTGGTCCGTGTTGTTGCACTCGAACAGTTTGTCGTACTGCCCGCTCACGTCGTAGTAGCCCAAGCAGGTGTCGTGGGTGCTGGCGGGCGCCGGCTGCGGGGTCTTCTGTGGCGGGACGACCGTGGGGACTGCAGTGGCTTTGGGACCCTTCCTGGGCGGCTGCTTGGCTTTTTTACCGCCTGTAGCCGCGCTCAGCACGCTCAGCGGGTCCAGGTATATTAGCAGCAACAAAAGATGCCTTATCCCCATGGTAGTGTGAAGAAGTCTTCAAGTCTTATGTTGTGGCAAAGACGTTTTCACTCTTGTTAAACATGCGAAGGTTCAGTCTTGTGTAAGTTTCGCCACCGAGTCTTCTCCTGCTCGCTCAGACTGCTGTGCAGCCGTCATTCTGAATACACCTCCGTGTAGACTGCTGTCAAGGGCATTTCTCTGTTGTTCTTATTATGCAAGAGACTAACTAAAGCCCATTGCGACCCAGCGGGGAGCGCTGACAGGAGAGCAGCATATCCTGACCGGGAGGGGAGCTGATGGATGCACGAGTTCTGTGCACTCTCCCGGCTGAGCGACGTGTGGGAGCCGCTGGGCGTTGCTGTCCACGGTGCTGATACCTGGAGCCCCAGTCAGTTGGCTTAAGTCAAAGTTGGAGCTGGAGAAACAAATAAGCCAAATGGTCTCATTAGGTATCATCCTCACGTCAGTGGCACGTCATTAATTCATTAGTAGGCTTCTCTGCGCCCAAATAACTTCACACGTTTTGGTCATTAAAATGTGCCCTGCTCTTAGTCTTTCTTGCAGATTGCACGACGCATTCAACTTGACACCCACACAGCACAAATATCTTCCAAAAGATATATCTTAATGTCAAGCATTGCACCCTGCCATCACTATAAACTATTGAGTGTGGACACAAGGCAATTTCTTTCAGTGTTTTTCAAATAAAATTCAGATTAAGTGGAATGCATTTTTAGTTTTTCTTGATGGCTATATTCAGAGAGTGGGAGTGTGAACGCCAGCCTACCTCTGTTAGGATACCCGCTGGGGAGTTGCTCTGTGTCTGGGTCTCCGAAAGTGAAGGGAATATCAGAGCTCCGAACTCCCCCCCACCCCCACCCCCACCCCTCTCTCTCTCTCTCTTTCTCTCTCTCACCCCTCTTCTTCTCTCCTCCTTCTCAGCTGTCTCCCTCCCTCCGTCTCTTACATCACTCCAGTGCTGGCGTCAGAATTCAGCCAAGTATAGGTAAATTGCACCCGCATAGTCCAAAGAAGCAGGCAAGAAAGCAAGCAGGGTTACTGGCATTAACACTTCACCATTAAATGTATGCACAGACCTCTGTCTGCAAAACATTTGCTGACTTCAGGGCTCTGCATGTCTTTGTACTAGGGTGTTTATTTGCATTCACAATTCCTCAGCCTTTGTGCAGTTGTTGTTATCACTTTGCAGCTACATGCCTGTCAGAACGCATCATTTACAGCCCAAAAGAGCCATTGGCAGTGCTCTCAGTTAATACAGTCATTGTTTCAAATAAAGTCATTCCTATTGGTCTGCAGCCAAACCAGGGCACCTGGGGGATTATAGAGAACTGATATGGCTAAATTAAAGTGTGTTTTAACACCACTGCACTGAAATTAACTACATCTGTGCAGCACCCCTTCCACTTGGCTCTGCCCTTGCTGCAAATGCCTTTTATTCTTCTTTTGGAGCCATCTGTACCCATGGTCGCCAGCAGAAGAAGGTGTTTCACTAATGAACACACCTTAAACCAGCAAATTTACCAGGTACAAAGCTTGGTTATAATACAAACCTGCACACACTGTTCTTAGTGGCATTGACTGGAGAACATCAAACTACAGTGGCAAGAAAAAATAAGTGAATCATTTAAAATTACCTGGTTTTCTTCATGAACTGGTTATAAAATGTGATCAGATCTTCATCTAAGTCACAAATATAGACAAACCCAATGCTCTTAAGCTACTAACTAGCAATTTTTTCAGGTCTTCACTGAACACGCCCACTAATCATTCAAAGTGCTTTGTTTGAAAAAGCAAGAGAACTGTTGGATTTAATAACTGGTTGAATCTCCTTTGGCAGTTGAATGTTCAATGGGTGTGTTCAGTAAAGCAAGTTACTTTATCATTGCTTAAGCACATTTTGTCTGCCTATGTTTGTGACTTGAGTAAAGATTGAATGACAATTTATGACCAATGGAAGTGGAAAACAAGGTAATTCCAAATGGATGACTTAGTTTTTCTGGCCACTATATATTGCACACCATAATTGCACTCAACTTTCCAATCACATACTACCAAGGGTGTCTTGATATCAGCAGCTACAAAGAGGTATTGAAGCTGCAAGGTGAAAAAGGCACCTTAAAGCACAGTTTCCACCTTGGTTGGGAATGCACATAATGTGGCACGGTGCACATAGTTTCTTGGGAAAGTGTGTGACAAGACTCTGAACATATAGCCTTGGAGGAACATCATCCAAAGGAAACATTTTGGAGGAGTTAGGTTTTTCTTTATTTACAAAAATCCAATGATTACAGGTGTTTACTTTAGATTTTAAATGTGATTGTGTGGAGGGATTTTACTTAATCTTAAAGCATTTTCTAAAATCCTGTTCCCAACACAGTTTCAAGGTACTAGACAAATGAAAAAGGTTTTCCAATGTTAAGATGCAATAGAAAACAATGAGAAGTGCAAAAAGCCTAAACACTACAGCCCAGACAAACATACAACAACCAACAGAAAATGAAGAAAAATCAGAAGCTGTTTTGTGATACACCTGTGCTGATGAGGATGTTTATGCAACAGATTTTTTTGTTCTGTGTTGTGTAGTGCAGCAGAGGGAAAAGACATAAATGATATTAAGAGAGCGCTAGATCGTGGGCTGAGCAGAGAGAGAGAGAGTGGCAGGTTCACTTTTGCACTGATTTTGAAACTTGCCAGTTTCATTTTTGTATTGCATTACTAAGATGCAAAACATGCTGAGCTGCATAACTGACATCAAGACTGTTGGCAGTGCTTGAAAGCTACAGTATTTAATATGTTTATACAAAAATACTGACCAAATGAAAATGTGTAATATGAAAGAGGTCATCTGTAGTGACAACCCACAGAGACTTATCCCCAAAACTTGCAGTTTCACTGAGTTCACTGGAGTATTTTACCCTATTTTATTTCATTGTTTTGGTTGCAGCCCACAACCTTTCTTAACACTTCTAAATTAAATGACTGCATGGACCTTTGTCTGCAGAACACTGCTAATTTTCTCTGGCAACCATGCTCTGCATGTCTTTGCACTCGCATGTTTATTTGCATTCACAGTTCCTTGATCTTCTGTTTTGATTTAGTCTGACAGAAGCAGGCAGCTTCCTGCTTTCCCAGCTCCAAACAGCACACAGACAGTGTGGCTAGCTGACAGACATAGTGGAGACCAAACCAAATTTAAAATCAAAGTGAATATTGGACTTGCATTTGTCCCAACTCCAAATGAATAATAATGTTATTTTCTGTTTGCTGGATGTGTAAAAAGGAATGTTGCCATAGCTATTATACATGGTAACAGTATGGGGAATGTTCACAGTTTACTTTGCTGCCCTCACGTGGTCATGAAAATTACTAGATGTAGCTTTAAGTCCTCTCTTTTGTTTTGCAAACTCAAATATGACTATTGACATTTCTCATAAGTTGAATTTAGGCCTTAAAAACAAATAATAACGTGAGTGACATTGTTGTTCTATATTTATAGTCAACTTCTGCTTGAATTATCAGTCATTCAATCACCAAGAACAGAGATAGCTAACTAGTCACTTTAGGCAGAGTCAGATATACAGTACATCCATTATCTATACCGCTTATTCCTGCATTGGGTCACAGGGGGTGCTGGACCCAATCCTAGCTGACACCGGGTTAGAGGCAGGGTCCACCCTGGTCGCCAGGTCATCAGTCAATCACAGGGCTAACATCAAATCAAATCCAATCAATT